TACTCTGTCTATTTCAAGATAACTATTCATTAAGAATTTTATATACATTTAAAACTAAATAATATAGACATAATATATGTTGGCATTAGTTTACTCTTTGATGTATATAAAAATTATTCCCCATCGATCCGTTCCCCAAAACGTTTCCTATTTTGATTAATGAGATAAATAAAGAGTGTATATTTATAATTGACTTTTCAATTTTATCTTTGATGTGATAGTTAAAAGTAAGATGTAATGAATAGATTATTAATAAAAAAATATGATGTGATAGGTAGGGTAATAAAGAGTATAAGTAAATTTGGGTTTTTTTATATCTTTTCATATACTACTTTCGTCCACAAATAAACTTCCCGTTGTGCGTTACGATGTTTGACTGAAGTTATTTTCAAATTATTTTATATGAAAAATGTGTAAATTTTAAAAATAAAAATTACATATTAAACAACTATATCAAAAGATCTACAAAACTAGAGGTGACATGATTATATTATTTTATCAAATGGGTGACGAAAATAGGCCAACAAAGTGAATAAAGTTTGACCCTGTGAATAATGAACGATGAGTTTATTTGTGGACGGAAGGAGTAGTTTTTAGATGTGTATTTATTATTTTTTAATTCCATACTATTTTTCATATAAATTGATTATTTGAAAATAATTTCAATCAATCATCGCAACACGCAACGAGAATTTTAGTAATTTTTGTGAGTTACCAAAAATGATTTTATAAAATGTTTCAATACTCCGTATTAATTATGTTGATAATTTCGTTTACTAAAACCACGATGTGAAAATAATTCAAACGCTCACAAATCAATCAATAAATTAAATACATTCTCTCGTTCTAGAATTAGCATCTCATTTGACTTTTACGGTCTCGAATGCAACATTTTGATCATTTATATCTCTATTTATATAATACTTCCTCCGTCCCAAAAAGTTTTACACATTTTGACTAAAGTGAAAATTAAAGGAGAGATAATTTTGTGTTGACTTTCCAAAAATGACCTTGATTTGATGTGTAAAAGTAGGATGTGATATGTAGATTATAAAAAAAAGTATGATGTGATGATAGGTAGGATTTGAAAAAGTAAGGGATAAAAAGGGGTTTTAATAGAAATATGTAGGAGATTTGGGACGCAATTTTTTTGAAAGGTGTAAATCTTTTTGGGACGGAGGGAGTAAAATTTCACTATTAATCTACCCATAAAATCCTACTTTTACCCATCACACCCAAAAATATTTTTAGAAACTCAACATCAAAATACACTTCTCTTAAATCCCTAAGAAATCAAAATCTCCCATATTTTCAGAGATGGAGGGAGAATAATATTATATAAATAATATATTTCAAGGTGTAATCTATTGATATTAAAATTACATAAAAATTTAATGTATTTTTTCTTCAATATATAGTCAAAGTTCAAAAAATTGGGCCATGAAAGTCAAAGTCGAAAATTAATTTTAGAATGGAGGGAGTAGTATTTTCATGAAAATAAATTACTGTCTATTGTCCAATTACGAGTCAAGAGAGTGTAAAAATTTTAGCAATTATATATATATATATATATATATATATATATATATATATATATATATATATATATATATATATATAGGTACAATAATTTTAGTAATTAATTACATGTGGTATTAAATTGACCCAGGGCAATATGAGAATAGGATATCAGATCTGCATGGAGAAGTGATGGCTTGTGCATACGAGGACGTACAAGTGATGTGGTCAATTTTGGACAAGTCCAAGCCCCGCCCTTGCAATATCACTTCCTCTTAAGGACTATTCGCAAATTAACTGGACTTTGCAGTAAAAAAAATAAACTACTCGGTATTTTGCTTGAGTTTTTTGATACTTGTGATTTTTTTAAACATGTATAAATGGGGATATAAGTATATATATGTCTCCATTTATCTCGTTTTTTAATGTATCAAAAAATTCAAGCAAAACGTTAATTGAAAATGAGGGGAGAAAATAATAATATAATGAAACTTTTGGAGATCCAAAATGCACAAATGTTCTTGTTGATGAGGTGGGAAGGAGGAGAAGAAGAAAAAGAGGACGCCCAAAGACAAGAAGCAAATTGTTAATTAATTAAATTAAGAATTGCCCCCTGTAGATTTAGTTTGGTGATGTTGGTGTGTGACATCTAATTTGTACTTGTATTATTAGTTGTATAACTAATTTGTACTACTCCATAATAAATTAATGTGTCCTTTTCACCATGAGTTAACTCTTATGTTCTTAATTACTTTCACAGGTGAAAAAATATATATTCAGTCATTGTTATGGATTGACATTATTGAATAAAAAATTGTTGTTTCTGTTAGTTCAATGATGTTGGCTAATCTTTTGGCAAAATAGAATCTCATATTTGTTAGGTGTTTTACTAGATAAAAACCTCTATTTGTTAGGAGAGATTTATTTTATTTAGACTTCTAGAGCTGTTGCAGTTTTCGATATTGAAACAGAAGATGCTACAGCACGATGCTGCAACATAGTGTGCAAGATCAGAGGTCTGAGCACGGGATTTAAAGCTGCAATCTGAATTAGAGACCTTTTGGAATTGTGGTTACATGATAATAACTCCAGCTGTACATGCCAAGGAATCCCAACACTTTAGGCTACTTGTGGATCAAGATTAAGGAAGTTGAGTTCAAGCCAACTTCTACTAACCTATTCCTACTAGGATTGTGTTAAGAGAAACCTATAAAAACGTAGCAGGTCCTTGGAAATTACTTGGAGCGATTGAGAGGGAAATCAAAGAATATACGCTGATGTAGAGCATTCCCGTCGCGTCCCAGAGCTTCCCTTGCATGAAGAAAGATACGATCTACATGAAGAAGGAGTCCTACAATGAAATACAGATCGTGATAACCAGGAGGTGGACAAGAGCTTAAGGAGAGGGCTGCCAACACGTTTGTCCTTGTGATCTCGGTAGAGATGTGACAGTCGAAGCGAATATGTACAGGGTATGGGTTAGAAATTCTAGATTAGATGTTTTGTCATAACAATTCGGAGAAGTGTGTCTCATCATGTTATTATGTACCGGTGTAACTTGCATCTAGTGATTTAGTGGGGGACTATTACACGGACGTGGGCCTTGCAGACGTAGGAGAGTTCTCCGAATTGCGTAAACATATCTGGTGTTATTTTTTTACGCATTTTATAGTTATAGCAATCTGCCCAGTAGGCGTTGTAATACCTTCTGCATCTTCTTCTTCTGTGTGTGCTTGTGATAGAGAAGTGTTGTAGCACACTGTATGTCATTTCTTGCTGTGACAGGGCTATAGTATCTTCAGTGCAGCATAGTGGATTGATTTGTTTGCATAGCTCTTGATTGGTGATTTTCGATTGAAAATTCATATATGCAATGAGAGAAAAAGGATAGAAATCTATGAGTGGGTATGATCCATTTTGCATAACATATTTAATGGTATAGATTAGCAAAATGAGACCAACTATTTCCATTTTGGTCGAATTTCAGAATAAAGAGTTAAGTATGAAAATAAACCAAAATATGAGAGTAGTTAATGTCGAAGATCAGAGTGAAAATAGTTTAACCAACAAAGCTCGGGGGTGGATGCGCCCCATGAGGTGATTCCAAACCTAATTATTATTAGTATAATGAGTTAGAGATTTCTAAGTACTAGAGAATTAGAAGGGCTAATATGTAAAATTCCAACCCCTCTAATATGGGGTTTAAGATTTAGACCCATCAATAAGTCATCTACTTACAACATTGTGAGAATTAGGAAAAACAGTACTCCGTAAGTAATTTTCAAAATTTAAAATTTGTTTTTTGTAATTGAGCTGCACTTTCTTACTTGGAAAAGTTGTGCAACCATAATTTCATCATTACATCTTCAAGTGTCATAAATATTTTTGTCTCTCCATTTCAATTCTGTGGGGTTATCTTTGTCTTGTCACGAGTCCCTTAAGACCATGTGTTATGATGGCGCGAGGAGGGCGTCACTCCCCCTCCCCTTCACACCTCCTTCAAGCCTCAATCACCATGCCGCACTTAAATTTTGGGGGCGTGGCCCCTTCCTGCACGAGGGCTATCTCGTTGGGACCCTTGTTTCTTTTTTTAAAAAAAAATTAACCAATCAAAATAATTAACATCTTTACTCCATCATTTTTTGTCATGTGTCCCTTTTAAGCCCACAATACACATATTTTTATTACTCCATCTCATACTTCTTATACTTCATCAAGCCCGTCATAACACATAGCCGAATAAGTGATTATGGATTGTTGTCTAAATTCCCCCTTGTCAAACAAGTGGTAGTTGTCTTTGCTACTAATTTTTTTCCCTTAAAAAAAGGAGGAACCCCACCCGGTTTCTCAGAACCGACTGGACCGTCACATGATTTTTTTTTTTTTTTATGAATGACAGGTGATGGAAATATGGGCCACACCCCCAAGGCCCATTAATTTGGGCCTATAAGATCTATGGACGGGAGCCCACAGACTTAAGGGAACACGCATTGTCGAATTTCTTGTTCCAATCTCAGACATACCACGCTAACCCAAGCCAGGCTGCCAATGCCAAGTCCGGAAACTGCTAAGGCTATTACTCCGTATATTTTTATGATGCATATCAAGTGTTTGATTGTTTGCCTAAACGACATTAAGCAGAATAGTTGTTGTGTTTCTGCTTGCACGGGTCATTATGTTCATAGACATCATTAATCTGTTTGCTAATCTCCTTTAGCTAGTTCATAGACATCATTAATCAAAAATTCTGTGATTATACAATTCTTTTTATTTAAAAACAATTAACAATCGCCAAGGACAATCGATTTCGCAAAGTCAGATAATGTGTCAAAATGCACACAACTTACTAGATTTGTGTCAACTGTGGATAACCCAAAAATATTCTGGCTTGAGTTTGCTTATGATCCATCTCCATGCACAAATTTCATCTCTGGTTGCTTTCATTACTTTGTTGAAAAATTTCTTTTCTTTGTTTTGAAATCTATTGGAAGGAGCTCTTATTTTAATTGAACTATTATATGAGTATTTGAACAATAGATTACTCTTAATGATAATATTGAAAACAAATCTTTACAATCACAATGCAATTCCAACAGCTGTCACATATATGGGAAGATGACTTCTGTTAGCAAGAGATAACCTGAATCAAGAACCAAAAGAATGTTAATCTAATTGCCCGGGTTTCGAGCTCTTCGGTTTGAGATAACTAAATATGGGTCTCTCTGGAACAGGGATGCACTTGACGAGCAAGCCGATAGGCCAAGAAGCAGCTGCAAGTCCTATGCAGATTCCCCACTGCCCCCAATTCAACCTTTCTGTATCAGCAAACTTCTTCAGAAACTCAACCATCACCACCTGAAGGACGACCGTTATGGCTATAATCCCCACAAACAGTCTGTTCTTGTGTACCCCTCTGAAGACATTCCTCTTCTCCAGCTCGCGTGCATTGAACTCGTTGAACACTTGGCAGAGAACGAAAGTGTTGAAGATCATTGTGTCATTGACCTTTTCGCCCACCCTCAGGATCGACTCGCCTCTGAATTGTAAGACCAGGAGGATGGAGATCTGGTATATGGCTTGAGCTAGAAGGTTCCTCCACATGATGTTGGTAACAAGTGGTTCTGTTCTTCCCACAGGCGCCTTCTTCATGAGTTCCCTTGTTGGTTTTTCTGTTGCAAGTGCTAATGCACCTAGGGTGTCCATAATCAGATTGACCCATAGCAGCTGAACGGCTGTTAGGGGAACCTCTCCAGCTGAAACCGCGGCTACAAAGTTGATCACAAGGGCTGCCACGTTGACCGTGAGCTGAAACTGGATGAACTTTTGGATGTTGTTGTAAACACATCTTCCCCATTTAAGAACCGTGGCAACAGAAGCAAAGTTATCGTCCAGGATCACGATATCTGAACTCTCTTTAGCCACCTCTGTGCCTTGGATTCCCATTGAGAGACCTATATCTGCCTCCTTTAAAGCTGGGGCATCATTGGTGCCATCACCTGTGACTGCAACAATGTGGCCTTTCTTTTTCAGGCATTGCACCATTAGAAGCTTGTCAAAGGGAGACGATCTTGCCATCACGCGGATCTTTTCAACTCTCTCCATTCTTTGTTCGTCCGTTAGGTTGCGAAATTGAATGCCTTCTATCACTACCTCGTCTTCGTCCTCTTCTTCATCTGCTGCTTGATAGTACTGCAAAATTCCACACTCTGTTGCTATAGCCTTTGCAGTAAAGATGTTGTCTCCAGTGATCATCTTGACCTTTACGCCAGCTAATTGGCAATCTTCCACGGCTTTCTTCGCTCCAGCTCTGCACGGGTCTTTGAGGCCAACCAGCCCCAAAAGGGTCAATCCATTCTCGGGTATCTTCTTCTTCTCAAGCATTTCTCCGTCTTTGGGGTAACTTTCTAAAACCTGTTTATGGGCTAGTCCAATGCATCTCAGGCTACTAGCTGCCATGCCTTGGATAATTTGGTTGAACCCATCTCTCTCTTGATCATTTATAACTTTCTTGTTCCCTTCGCTGTCGCAGAAATCTGTACACATTCCCAGGATCATCTCCGCGGCTCCTTTCCAGTGAGCATGATTTGTCCCGTCGCCCATCTTCCTCGCCAAAACCCCACTCCTCTTTTTCTCAGAATTGAACGTTTCGACATCAAGAATGGTATATCTTCTCTTAATTTCCTCCATATCCATCTTGAGTTCCAAAACAGCCCACGAGAGAATTGCTTTCTCTGTAGGACTACCCGAGAACTCAAAACTGGATGAATTAGAAGCCTTGAAAATACTACCTGTTGTGTTGAGGCTAACCCCTTGATGCAACAGATCAAGAACTCCATCTGCAATTGAACTTTCACTGTTCTTTCCATCCATGGACTCTTTCCCTAACCAAAACTTGGTCACGGTCATCCGGTTCTCAGTGAGCGTGCCGGTCTTGTCCGTGCAGATGATTGTTGCAGACCCCATTGTCTCACAAGCAGAGAGCTTCCTCACCATGGCTTGATCACTCATCATTCTCTTCATTGAATAAGCAAGAGTTAGTGTCACTGCCAATGGCAACCCTTCCGGGATGGCAACCACCACTATTGTGACAGCAGCAGCGACGATTCCCACCACAGAGTTGATGACATCATCCCGTTTCGTCTTCCTCCCAATAAACTCTTTATGCCCATTATCGTCCTTGGTGTGTCCGGTAAAATACCTCACCAGCAAAACCACCAGCACTAGGGAAGCGACTGCCAAGCCAACCTTACCTATGGCAGAAGCAAGTTTGTTGAGCCTTACTTGGAGGGGAGTTTGCTCACTAGAGCCACTGCTGCTGATTTTGCTCATCATCTCGCCCCAACCCGTGTTCAGTCCGACCGAAGTAACCAGCATCTGGCCATACCCGTCCGCGATCTTTGTGCCCGAAACCAGAAACGGGTTCTGTTTCTTGTTGATCTCCACGTGATCACTCTCTCCGGTCATGCTAGACTCGTCCACTTGTAAGGAATGCCCTTCGACAAGCAGCCCGTCAGCGGGGACTTGGTCTCCAATCTTCAGGCAGACAAGGTCTCCGACAACAATTTCAAAAATAGAAACATGCCGGCGTCTCCCTCCCCTGACAACCTCCACCTGAATGTTGTTGCTGATTCTCGACAGCTTCCCAAACTGCTTGCTCTGCCTGAAATCGCTCGTGGCTGTAACGGATATTACGAGAAAGACAGCCAGGAAAATGCTCCCCCCGTCATACCATCCCTCTTTCAATCCATCTTCTTTAATCCCAAACCCAAGGGACAACACCGCGCAGGCCAGCAATATGATGATGGTGGGGTCTTTGAACGTGTCCCAAGCAAAACGAAGAAAACTCTTTGCGGGTGGTTTGGGGTAAGTGTTGGCACCATAGGCTTCACTTCTACGCGAAACATCCGGCGGGTCCCCATTGATTCCGTTGTGCAAGTCACTTCTAAGGTAAGAGGCGACACCGCAAACGCCACCAACACGAGCAAGATTCTCAAGGCTCTTCTCCCTCGCCAGAGCGGCGAGACGCGGCTGATCAAGACCCGAAGTAACAGGAGGAGGGTGTGTGTGGGAGAGTGGTTTTGAATTCCTCAATGGGTTCTGTTTGAAGTAATAGAAGAGAATGTTGGAACACTTGATCTTCACAAATGCCACATGCCATCTCTTTTTGCCGACAGACAGACTCAGGTCTGCAGATTTGAGGTTGACCACGACAATGTCCATTGGAAAGTGAGTTTCTGTTCCTTTGTGGTTTTGATGGGGACAAGATGAAGGATACCCAAGGAGATGATGATACAAATTCTTTGAGAGATTTGGGTTGTTTATAGAAGGGTTGTTTGGATTCCGTGTTCGACCTGAAAGGAAACTGTGTTTAAATTCCCTTTCTTTTTTACGGAAGTCACACGTTGTTCCTTAAATAAATCAAAAAAGCAACACGGTATAAGAGATTATTCTGAAACGTTAGGATTAAGTTACAGCAGTTTCCTCGAACCTGCCATGTTGCATCCCCTCTTATTGTACATTTGTTACGTTTTATTAGTCCGTAATAAAAAGTAGTTTTAAGCATGATGATGTTGTTTTGATTTTATTTTCCGAAGTTGCTTTTCACACATTTTCTACATAACAAATTAAAGTCGTGACTTGACTGTGGTGTTATCTTATCAAACACTCACTCGGTGGCAAAATAATATTCTCAATTCGAATGCCGCGTAAAATTTCGTAACTTTTAAAATAATTATATTTATAAATTGGTATAGAAATAAAAAATAATAATTACGGAGTACATATTAAAAAATTATATAAAAATTTCCAAAAAAATAAGATGTTACAAGAATATTTATCAAGTTATTGATGAAAAGAAACAAAGTTGTTTTAAGCATGTTGATGTTTTAATTTTATTTTCCTAAGTTGTTTTTCTCACAGTTTCTACAAAACCAATTAAAGTCGTGACTTGACTATGGTTAATTTACCAAAGTCCCAAAATAATATTCCCAATTCAAACTACGTGTATAATCTTGTAATTTTTAATATAATTTTATTTACACACGGGTATAGAAATAAAAAACTTATATATTAAAAAATTATATAAAAAATTCTAAAAATTAAGATGTTATAAGAATTTTTATCAAATTAATAATGAAAATAAAGAAATAAATAAAAATTATTGAGAGAACATAATACTAAAGAGGTAAATCATTTGGGACAGAAGAAATATTTAATAAAATATCTATACCTGCTCTATCCCATTGAATTTTTGACACGTGGAAATGATTCTTAATTGATGTTGATTTTTATTCATTTTGTAAAATATATCTAATAAGAATTTAAAGTTCAAAATAAAATAATGTAAGAGGTTAAATACACTTCATATGTATTTTGATATTTTTTTACTTCAAAGTTTTTAGTGTGAAATGCAAGTGCTAGAATTAATTTAATTATTCTACATATAAATTTAATAACTCGTTGGGTCAATTTGAACCGATGATACTGATCGAGTAATGACGACGACTCATGAATACGTAGTTGTCATCCCGAACTTAAATTTATCCGAACTTAATGTAATCCGAATGTGATGTACAAAACTCAAACTCATTCTGATCGATCTATTCAACTCTGCACGACAGAAAGTAAAATCTAGGCTAAAGACCTTTGTTAAAGAATCATCTATAATTAACTACTCCCTCCGTCCGCCTAAGATGTTCTCATTTTGACCTTTGGTGGTTTTTAAGGAGAGTTGAAAAAAGGTGAAAGTTTATCATAATACCCTTAATGAAAAATGGGTGGAGTGTATTAAATGAGGTGGGTGAGGTGTAATAAATAAAGTAAATGGAGGTAGTTGTGGTATTTTACTTGTTAAAAAATGAAATGAGAAGATCTATTGTGGACAAAGAAAAATGACTATTGGAAAGATCTATCCTAGACAAACCGAGTTTCTATAGATATAGGGTATCTTAATCTTTAAGTAGGAAGATGGACGTAGACTTGGAATAGCTAACAACGGAATAGTTTCATAAACTATTCTTCCTCGAAAGTAAGGCTTAAATGGTTGATGACTCCCAATTCTATAAAAAGATAAACTTTTTTTTTTTGAGTTTTAGACTTTTAAAAAGTGGATATGGTATACTGATATGACTTTTAAAACATAAAAAAATGATATTATATGTAGTTTGAAATATCAAATAAAAATCATTGAAGATATATGAATTAATATAATGTTCGTTAATGAAAATTAAAAAGAGGGGGAGTCGGTGGTGGGTGAGTGTTGGAAGTCATTTATCAAATTCTACACTGGCCGGCCGACCATATGGATGGTCAGCTGTTGAGGAGATATCAAAACATCTTCAAATGAGAGGGTTGTGATGTGTGGAGACATTGTCATGGCTAGACGTGAATTGAATTACACTAGAATCTTAAGGCAGCAACCATCCTTGGCGTAATTTTTGTATTATTACTTGATTAGTATTAGAGTGATGGATAAACGGCCAAATGCTTTAATTATGATCAGCGTATCACGGTAAATCTCCTAAATGAGAGGTCAGAAATTCAAACCTCTACATTAGAGTTGTAGCACTATGTGCTTTTAAAAATATAAAAATGTATAAACAAATGTTATATTATAAAAGATTTATTAATGTTCAAATATAAATTTCCGTTAAAAATGTTCAAAATTAACTTATGGATAAACATTAAACAACATCAAAGCTTCCTGTGATGTTAGTAAAAATATAGAGGTGGTAGCTAATTACCAGCGGGATACTGAGAGTGAATAAGAGAAGAGCAAAATGGCCCATGCAGGTCTCGAACCTGCGACCTTCGCGTTATTAGCACGACGCTCTAACCAACTGAGCTAATGGGCCTTGATGACGTCTATCGTTATCTAATATTCATAGATTATAGACGTGCCCGTAATTACAAATTTGCCAGCAAATTCCAACGGGCCACAAACCATACCATTCAATGTCACGTTAACACTGGTTGTACTCACCATCTTATTCACTTCTAGAGGTGCATGCAAATCAAATAAAATGTATTTGATTCGTATTCGAAAAGAATGATTCGTATTTGCTATATTTGAATTCGAATCCGAATACAAATCATATTTTAGATTCGAATTCGAATACAAATATTAATAGATCCGATTCGTTTATTATTCAAATTATTCGAATATTATAATTTATAAATAAATTTATATATATTCTAATATATTAAATATTTGTGTACATATAAATTTATATATATATTCGAATATTATAATTTATAAATAATATATATATATTCTAACATATTTTTACTACATTTTAATTTTTACTACATTTTACATTATTATAAAATAATAATTTAATATCTTTAAGAAATTTGTTTTAAGAAAAAAATTACTAATATTTTCGAATTCGAATATTCGAATACGAATTCAAATATGTCAAATATCTATCGAATCGAATACAAATGTTTTTTAAAATTCGAATTATATACGAATCTGAATTCGAATACATATCACTTTAATCGAATACGAATTGAATAGTGATATATTTGCTTCGATTCGTATACACCCCTACTCACTTCACACTTGTAATGTTTCACCACCACTGCAATGATTATATTTTTATTTTTTATAAATAATTATTTTTTCATAATCAAATTAAATTATACCATTTGTAAATTAATAATACAAATTATTTCGTTATTATTATTATTATATTTTTGCTATTATTGTTTTTTCATTATTATTAGTTTTCATTATTAACTTTTTTCCTTTTTTATACTCCCTCCGTCCCATGAAACATGAGATGTTTTGCTTTTTGAAGAGATTTAAGGGAGTGTATTTTGGTATTGAATTTCCAAAAATATCCTTTGATTTGATGGATAAAAGTAGGATTTGATGGGTAGATTATTAGTAAAAAGGTATGATCTGATAGGTAGGGTATGAAAAAGTAAGGGGTAAAAGTGACTTTTTAATAAAAATGAGAAGTGTTTTATGGGACGGATGAAAAAAGAAAGGAGAAAGTTTTATGGGACGGAGGGAGTATTATACTCCGTAACAAATTATTGCACAAAAAATAACATTTAACTAAGAGGGAAATCCCATTGGATAGGAATAAAAAGAAGATGAAAGCCCAAAATAGAAGTGACATATCTATACTTCCATCCATATGAGTGAATTGTGTAAAATATTCATATTTTACCCCTGCGGTCTATTTGGATTCTTTACTGCTCTTTTGGGAACTCTTTCGAGTCGATTACTTGTCTGGTATTCATTCATTTATTTTGAACTTCTCATTTATTGGGAAGTTTCTACAATGGCATTGGTTAGATGTTTTGGATTCTGAGTCTAACCAATGCTCTCTTAAGAGGGGTGAATTAGTTTCAAGGGTGGTTGCTCGCGATGGTGGTGGCAGTATGGTGGTGGAGTTTGGCAATGTGGCAGCAATGGTGGTTGCCCCCTCTTTTCTTTATTATTTTTCTTTTTCTACTATTTTTTCATAATTTTTTTTTCTTTTTAATGTTTTTAAAAAAATTAATAATCAATTATTTTTTGTTTGCAATAAAAATCAATTTAATAACAATAATTAATGTACACTTCATTTAAATCAAATTAATCATTTTCATTTTTTGTCCAAAAATGTCTTTATTGTTTCATTTTCATGGCAAATCAATGAAAAATTCTCTTTTTTACTAAGGCTCATTTCTGATTTACTGTTTATTAATTTTGTACCGTTTCTTTTATTTTAATCAAAATTAAAACAAAAGAAAAAAATATGAAAGAAAATAAAAAGAAAGGAAAGTATATTAAAATTAATTTTATAGAATGGAGAAAATTAAGTGATCATGGAAGAAATATTTTGTGCATTGGTAAAAATAATGTTATTAATATATAATTAACTATAAATCAAAAAGATGTTACTCAATATTATTTTGTTCTCGACATATACAAAAAGATAAAAACTTTTTTAGACAAAAACAAAAATATTTAATTCGACAAATGAAGTATATGTTAGATTTTTTATTTTTTAAAACTTTTTTTAAATGTAGGTTTTAAAAATCATTTTTCATTATTTCACACACAAACATTTTATCTCTTTATGAAAAAAAGAAAAAAACAATAAAGAAGAAGATGAGGGGGCGTCGGCTCCAATTTCCAAAACCATATAGGCTAGCAGAGTTATGTACTTAATATTTGAAAGATATTTTTGTTCAAAGGGGTTTTGGCGTAAGAATATCACATTCTTAAGGGTCCACGACGTAAACTTTGAAACCATAGGAGTAACGTTGCACATTTGCCAAATCATAGAAAGCGTTGGTGCAATAAACTCATAAACAATAAAGTAACCTTTAAAAAGTTTGATTCCATTTTAGGCAAAAACAAAACATTAAGGGACTGTTTGACAACTTCTGAATAGGTAAGTGCTAAACCAGTAAGAGGTTTGAACTATTAAGTGCTGAACCAGTAAGAGTCTGAACCATTAAGAGCTAGCATATTGTCTAACTATTCAGAGGCAAATGTCTGATCAATTCAGATAAGAGGTTTTAATGATTCAGACTATGTATAATACTTAACCATTCAGAGACAAATGTCTGAGCTATTCAAACATCTGAACCATTAGGAGGCCGAAACAAACAATCTGAAACTCTGAACCATTAAGTGTTAAATCATTCAGATATCTGAACTATTAATAGGCTGAAACAAAGAGCCCCTAAGACTAAGATGGTTATAATGAGCACCTTGATGTAATATTTTCTTAACTAAACTGTGAATATGACATAGTACTACCCATACGTTGGTAAGTAAGTACATTTTTTATTTGTATAATGATCATAATATGTTAAGTTGTGTGCATGGACATAATATAAAGGTTCTTATACAATGTTCTTTTAAAATTTCACAAAAAAAATAAAATAAAATCTGAACAAAAAATAAATAAAATAAAAACCGAATCAGATCCATAAAATCACCAATCAAAAATGAAAATGAGAAAAATGTGCATACATTTATGTTATGTTTTTTTGCACATAAAATTACGAAATACATAATATTTTCCGAGATTATGAAAATATATATGATGGAATATACAAGATAAAAACTTACCTCAAATTTAAGTTCTACTTCATAATTTTTTTTACTTCAACTAATACATAAATTTAGAGGTGTGCTAAGGATACACCAAGTTTAGACCACAAATTGCACAACATGTATACCATAGACACATACATAAAAAAATCGTCTATGTGTTTCTGTGATATATACTCCTTACTTGGTACGCAACTTTGGGCAAAAATTCGGTGTATCCCACCTAGCATTTCTCATAAACTTATTATATTTTGGTGACGAATAAGAATTCTAGCTTTATTACATAATTATTATATGAGATAATTATTAATGTACTTATGTTAAGTAAATTGAAGTCATTATATTTAACGAGAGGTAGGGGTCATCATCTTCACAAAATCATCATAATTGACGTGGCCGTCGCCGTCCAAATCGGCCTCTTTAATCATCTCCTCAACCTCTTCATCGCTTAATTTCTCTCCAAGATTTATCATCACATGTCTCAACTGCATTTATATGAAATATTCCTAATTATTATCAATGATGAGCTTATAAATTTTGTTCACAAAAAATGATAGTGGGAAAATGGTCTTTAATAATCAGCTATGTAATACTACCTCCGTCTCACTCTCTTTATTCACTTTTGACCTTTGGAACTGTTCATCTAAGCACTTTGACTCATCAAATTCTCTCAATGTGTAAGCCTAAATATAGTCATGTGTGATCTTGTTTGATTTGTCTTAATATATAGATTATTAATATATAATTTCTATAATTTTTAATATACAAATTACAAGATAAAATGGATTAAAGAAGTGCATTGGATCGTGTGCCAAAAAGTAAGTGGACAAAGAGAGTGGGACGGAGGGAGTATGTTGCACAGATTCTTCAAATTTACTTATTAGTAATCTAACTGTCCATTAATTTCTTTCTCGCTTTTTTTTTGACTGTCCAAAGAAAAAAGTTCTCTACTTTATTTTGGTAAAAAACTTTTAATGAATTGTCATCATACCCCTACTTTTTGAATGGAAGGAGTAGATGCTAGCTATTTACTTTAATGCAAAACTTACCCCACTAGGCGAAATATACCCATTTTGATCTTTGTCAAGCACCTTAAAAGCCTCCTTAAGCTCCTCTTCGGCATCTAATTCCTGGTCATCATCAATTTCCTCACCGATCATAAAATAATTACTTTAAATAAGCTTCGTTATTTTAATAATTATTTTTTCGGTCTTGAGACTTTCTTTTCAGTTGTCATTCACACGGTCAAATTTTAATTACTTCATTTGCCTATTTTTATCAGTTACTTAATAAAATGTAGAACTTTGGATACAATTTTGAATATGTGTGTGTGTGTGTAATTTTACACACCTATTATTAAATAAATTGAATTGATAATTACATCAGTCAAACCTCGTATACCAAAACGAAAAGACGTACACTTTTAATTAAGACCAATGGAGTAGTATAGAATTATTGTACAAAACTATATATTTAATTCTGGAGAACAAGACACAAGACAAATTTGGAGGGAAGGAGCGGCACCTTCATTTTGATGGCAATAAGGTTCAAGAAATGTATGAACTCTATGGTGGCATTCCCAGCAGATTCGTCAAATTCATTATTATTATTATTATTATTATTATTATTATTATTATTATTTTTATTGATCATAGCATGCAACTCATCCTTTGTTAACTTTTGATCCAATAATCTAATCACTGCTCCCAATTCCTCAACTGTGATGCACCCTAAAACACACAATAATAATGATTAATATTTCTTCCATCCCAAATTTGATTACAAATTATGATTCACGAGGTAAACTCTCGTACCTTTTGAAATCATTTTATTTACAAATTGTTACATCAATAAAGAATAAAAATTACATATTTAAAAAACTATATCAAAACTTCTACGAATTAAGAAGTGACAAGAATATTGTATTTTATCACATAATCAATTAAAATACATAAAGAAACTATATATATATATATATATATATATATATATATATATATATATATATATATATATATATCTGTGTATAGAGAGATATTAACGGTCAAATTATTTCCAACATAAGAATATTATAGAGAAACATATATGGTAAAAAAAAAATAAACCTACTAACCTTCACCTTCCTTGAGTTCAACATTTTGATCTTCATTGTTCTTTAACTCATCAGCCATGGCATGTAACCTTAATTAGCTTTCTAATTAATAAGAGTACTAGTTAAACAACCCAGCCACCCAGCTATCTAGCTATTTATAGAATATAAGCTCTCCCTTTTCTACTGGCTAGAATATAATTATTATTAGTTTTTTTAATCCACAAACACAAAAAAGATATTTTAAAATAAATAAATATAGGGTATACATAGCTCAATTAGTTCATATAATTCGTTAATAAAAGTAAAGAATCTATACGTCACATTTCTTTTTTCATAAATTCTTTTTTATTAAATAAATTTCATTTACTCCATATTACTTATTTTTTTATTAATTAATATTTTTCATATATTCTGTAGAATAGTTAAATTGAATCCATTAGCTTGGGACAGATATATGCTTACTCCGTTCCTGAAAACATTTTCCTTTCTTTTTTCATTCGTCCCAAAAAAACACTTCTCATTTCTATTAAAAAGTCACTTTTACCCCTTATTTTTTCATATATATATATATACCCTACCTATCACATCATACATTTTTACTAATAATCTATTCATCAAATCATACTTTTATTCATCACATCAAAAGACATTTTTGAAAATTCAATACCAAAATACACTCTCCTTAAATCTCTCCTCAAAATCCAAATTAAACTCCCATGTTTTCCGGGACGGAGAGAGTCGTATATATGTAGGTGGTGTGTAGGTAAATAGCAAATGTATATCTTCCATGCCGACAAGCTAGGCAAAGTAGATATATAGCAATTGGCCGGCGGCCGGCGACACTGGTTTGACGTTTGTGCGACTTGTGAGAAAAGAAGACAAAGAGTCCGGAGGCATATATATAGCTTATTTGAACATTAATAGGGTGAGAAAAAAAAGGGACCATTGCATGTTCCGATTCTATCTGTGACAACGATAATGTGTAGGAAATTAACATATTCTGTTTATTTGTGCAACATAATTCACATGAGAATCGATAAAACCAATGTGTATAACGACGTTGAAATAAAGATTACTTTGTACATACTTGAAAGGTGTTAGGTGTTAGATACTCTATAATTTTAGATGTTTTGTTCAATAGTGAAATTATTTTATGCAAATTGCTCAACGGCAAATTAATAAAAAAAGAGCAATGCTAGGGGTACACCAAAAGTGTACCCCATTTGTCCCACAACCCTTTTTCTACCATTTATTTTTATTTTATTTTTTATTTATTTAACTTTTTTTACTCTCTTTCCCATTTTGTGGTAATGAAGGGAGTGAAGGACAAATGGGGTACACCAAAGCATTTTTCAAAAAAAAAACAAAGAAATCAAAGGAAGTCACTAGCTATAGCGTATAGCCTGTTAGAGCAACTCCAAAGGAAGAAGGCAAAAGAAGAAGGTATTCTACTCTTTTACCTTCTCAAAAAGGTGATTATACCTTCTAAAAAATTATTTGATTCCAATGGATAGAGGGCATTAGAAAAGGTAAACATACTTTTCCCAAATTTAAAGACATTTTAGGGTTAATTTCAAAATTTATTTCTTTTTAATTTCTTGTCAAATGTTCCTTTTCTACAAATTTTAGATTAATGACTCGGGAGATTAATTTGAGGCAATCATAGTAGCCGCACAAGGGGAAGAGACGAGTCCCGAGTGCCATTCTGTATGGTTGCTTTTTTGTCTCCATCATCCCCAAATACAAAACTCTATCTTCACTCATCTTTCACTCCATTCGTTTCTTAATTTCATATCTCACAATTCCGTCTAGTTTTGAAAATAGAAGATCGACGATGCACAGGAGATTACTTGGCTTTGGCATCAAACAATTTACCTCTTGTATTTGAGGAGGTAAAGATACCTCTCCAAAATAGAAGAAGGTAAATTACCTTTTGATTTAGCTTCTCCATTGGAGATTTGATTTGTGTGAAGAAAAGGCAAATATTATGGTATCTTACCACTTCATATACCCCTCCAATTGGAGTTGCTCTTAGGGAATCAATCTTAGGGTCCGTTTGGTATAAGGAATTGGTGGAATTGGAATTGAATTGGAATTGTAATTCTATTGGATTCAATTCCATAGAATTGAATTCTGTCAATTTCAATTCATTTTTTGCACTATCAATTCCAAATCTACATAATATTTGTGCTACCAAACACTAGAATTGGAATTGAAGTCCTCAATTCCAATTCCATAGTTTGAATTCCATGTATCAAATGGGGCCTTAATGTGTTTATCCGTGTTCTTCTTTATTCCATGTATTCCATTTACAGCTTGAGATTTACTTAATTGAGAAGTCAAATCATGATAAGTCAAAGTATTGTAATTTTCGAAAAATCAAACAATATTTACTTTAATTTTATCGGTACGCGAAATTGGAACTACTTGGGATTTCAAACTGTATAGAATTGAATTGGATTAAAATTCAATTCCAAATTCTTTGTTTACTATAATTAAAATTGATATAAAATTGTATTATAATTACGAGTAGTTCTTTTGTTTGGTAACACAAAATTGTATACTCGGTACATAAAATTGTACTCCACGCCTCCCGTTCTTGGTTTTATGTAAACATCAAACCGAAAAGACCAAACCCAACCCTAAATATTGTTATTGCTTCATCGAACTAGTGTAAACTTTTTAATGTTTATAAACTTTATTTTTAAAAATTAAAAAAAAAACAAAATAAAAACCGCATAAAACCGAACTAATAACCACCGATTTATATATATTTTTTCATGCGAAACCGAACCGCCAACTTACCTTCTGTTTTGTCTTTGGGTATAGGTGAAAATCTAACTGTGTTGTTGACCCATTTCAACCAATTAATCTTAAACCCAGTCCTACAGTTCGTTTGATATGATTTTCAAAACATTACATCATTCAGAATGGGTACAAGATTGGGAGAAAGATAGGGCAGTTTGGCATTGTTCTTAATTTGTTTTATTGAGATAATCAGCCAAACGAGTCCCAAACAAACAAGGGACCATTTGGGCTTTTTGGAAAGAATTTGAAGCTCATCTCCCCCACTTGATCACACCAAACACAAAAGTTTTATTTCACCATTCTTAACAAGGAGTAACACATTTCACACCAAACATTTTTTTTGTATACATAAATCTCACAAACATATACACACACACCATTCATGTGACCATAAAAACAATGACAAAACACTCCCTCCTAGGACTCCTCCGACTCCGACGGCCTCTTGACTTGCCGGAGTTGGACCGAGTTCTCAAAGCAATGGTAGAAGCCAAAGTGCGGGACCCTCTCGTACCACGTGTCCTGCCGCACGTGGGTGTCCCAATGCTCCCCGCTGCTGCTCTTGCCGTACTTGTGCACCCACCCCGAGCCGTTGTGCCCCTCTCCCCACGTGCGGTTCCATCGGTCGCCGTGCCTCCCCTCCCACCACTTCTCCCCTTGCTTCACCCCGCGCCCGTTCGCGTCAAAGTGCTCGTCCCATTTGTCCCCCCATTTCGACCACCCATCCCCCTCGCACCTCTCCGCCCACTTGTCCGTGTATTTCACCGCCCCGCCTTGCCCGTCAAACTTCTCCCCCCACCTACCCAAAAAGAAACACATACATTATGTGAACGTGTGATATCAGACTTCTCCAAGATCTTTTGTTGGTTTTGAGAAAAACGTATCGCAATTCACAAAAAAGGACAACAAACCCAGTAAAATCCTACGAAAATAAGGTCAGGGAATAATGTGTGTACACAAACTTTACTCCAATTTGACAATATAGATGTTATTTTCAACAGACCGCGGCTCGAACGCAATAGTAGGGACAAAGAGAACACATTTGCATGAACTAAGGAAGAGCACAGACACAAGACGCACACATACCGACACTAATGACAAGACACAAAGCATAAAAAGCACATCATCATAAACTACAAACTTTGTAAAAGCCTGGGAATAAGCGATGTAAAAGGCCTTCCTCATTTTGAAACTAAAAGTTTGGGAAGGCTTTTTGCATCAGTTAAATAATTGATGCAAAAAGCCTTCCCCATTTTGGCGCTAAATACCTTGGAAGGGTCTTTTGCATCGGTTATTTGGAAATAACCGATGCAAAAGACAATCCTAGGCGCGTAAACACCCTTTTGCATGCAAAAGGTTTAGCACCAATTGCATCGCTCCTTTTTGCATTGGTTAGGAACCAATGCAAAAGGTTAAAAGAAACCTATGCAACATGCCTTTTTTGTAGTAGTGAAACTAAGGCTGAGAGGACTACCAAGATACTCTAATCCTATATCAGAGGTTGGCAGAGATGAATAACATTATAGCAATACCTTTCATGCCACACATGAGCATGGCCTGCGAGAAGGGGTGTGTTAGGATCAATGCTGCACCACTTGTGTGCCCATTTCTCAGCTTGGCCAGATGCATCATACTTCTCCCACCATTGTTCCTGCCACTCTTCACCTCTCCCGTTCTTTCCCCACTTGTCTGCAGTTTTCTCCATGTGGACAAGCCCAGCATTCTGTGGGGGGATAAACGAAAAAGAAATGTACCTGGATCAGATAAGCTGCGCATCATCCAAAAGATTCATTAAAGAGGAAGTCTGACCTCAGACATGGATTCCCTCCAATACTCGCGCCATACATTTCCAACCGCGTCACGTCCGGATTTCTCAGAACCCAATTCTTTGTACCCAAACTCATCTGCAGCTTCCCAATACTTGTTTTCCCATTCAACAGCCTTATCTGCACTTACACCCCTAGTCACAGTCCACTTACACAAAACCCCATCCGGTCTTTGTTCGGTTCCTGTCTCATTCCACCACTTTGATCCATCGGGATTAACTCCATGGGTAGGAGAAACCTGTTCCAGTGCAAGAACCGCCTCAGCAGCCTGCGTTGAAAACTGGACGCCGAGTTCATGTTCCTCCTCTTGATGCTGAGGTGTCTCCACAGTGGTGCTCGGAGTTTCCACCTCCACGAGTGACTGAAGAGGGGGTAGGAGGGGGTCAATTTTAGTACTTCCCAAAATGCCACTCTCAAATGGTATCAACAGATAATCAGCCGAACGTTCCTTCTCCATTACAGGAGTGCTTGGATTGGGAAGTGCAGAAACTTTTGCATCCAATTTAAGTTGTTTTTTGTCATCAATGGAGCTGTCTGGAGGAGGTGTCCATGCCCAAAAGCTTGGACCAGGGGTTGTATTCGCCGGTTGAGGAACCGATAAGCTCCCATTGTTTAGTGCTGGCCAAACAAAGAATTCTCTTAACAAGTTAATTGCCTTTGGTTAACATTTTCAAAACAATGGAAGTGGACTCTGAAGCTAAGCTAATGCCAAATAATGGTTCTAAGTGATACATGACTCCATAGTCAAAAACTCACAATACAATCAGGGAACAGCAAATTAATGTCATTCAAACAAGACCTATATGAATTATAATTGAACTTACCTTTTTGAATCACCCCATTTCCATCGCCGCTCTGAGCCTCCTCCATTTCACCCGAAGCCTCCCGCTGGGGCAAAGGGTTCTCCTTCAACAGTGCCCTAGCGGCCGAAATCGCCGCCGCCGCACGGTCAATAACCTGCATTCTCTGGATTTTATCCCTCTCCTCCGAGGAAAAGTCGAGAATCTTCTTGAACTCTTCGGTTTTCTTCCCCAAAGCTTCCGGGCTAACCTCCTCTTCTCCGGCCGCGCCTTTTCCGCTGTTCTCCACGATTTTCTGGAAGTAGAGAGACTTACTCTCGAGATCCACCGCCGTCTGCAACAGGTCTCCTCCATCAGATACTTGGATTCTTGAGTTCTTCCTTATCTGGGAGAGCCTCCTCCGGATCAAAAGAGGATCTTTAGTGAAAATGGAAAATGGGTACCCTAGGTGGTGTCTCTGGGGTGCGAAGACGGCGGCGCGTGGGGCGGCGCTTCGGAAACTACTTTGGAAGCGGCTGGCCATTGGAAAGTGTAATGCTCAGGCGGGGAATATGGGGGTAACGGAAATGAGAAATTGATAATTATTTAAATGCCAAATTATTACATAGTTCTAATATATGCTAAATAAACATTCTCTATATATTAAAATAAATATTTTTAAAATAAAAATTTTTTGTGAGACCTTAAGTCTACTACAGAATTTATCTACTTCCTCTGTCCCTAAATAGATTACAATTTTTTTCTCTTCTCTCAATAACTTTTGTTTGTTTACGCGATTTCATTAAGTATTTGATAAAATAAAATATTTTTGTCATCTCTTGTTTTGTAGAACTTTTGACGTAGTTTTTTTAATATGTAATTTTTATATCTTATTGATATACCAATTTGTAAATAAAATAATTTCAAAAAGTAGGAAATTTTACTCTGTAACCCGCAACTTGTAATCAAATTGGGGACGGAGGGAGTATTTAAAAAGGAGCGTTAACATTACAACAAAAAATTTTACTCATACAAAAGTAATATAACACTGAATTTGAAATATTTATATTGTTTCATTCGTAAAACTAATTATTTATATCTTTTTGTACCTTTCATTAACCTCTACCCACCCCCTATATCCAAAAATGCTGGTTTAGGAGTGGGTACGTGGGTGGATAGGGGTAGGAGTTTAGGGAGTGATTAAGATAAATCTTACTATATCTTGACCTAAAATAAATAATAAATTTTACAGAATCCATGAATTCTAAATAATTTAAAGAATTTTTTAAAATATTGATGGCATACATTCCTTAAATATGGTGGTAATGTAGTAAATATTTAGAGACAAAAAAATACTCAACAAAAAATTAACTTGTTTTTTTGGGGATAATATTTTAGCTCGTTTGATCTTTGAAAAAGAAACTACTTTCCTTGAAATATGAGGAAAGGGGATTCCGTTTGTAACCCTTGAGATGTTTTTTTGATGGATGTTAAGGGTATACCAAAAGTGACCTCAAATGTACACCACTCATTTTTCTATCACTCATTTTTATTTAATTATTTATTTATTTTGCTAATATATGTGACATTGGAGGGGGTTGTGTATATTTCAGGTACACTTTTGATGTACCCCTAGCATTTTTTTTTGTTGGTACAATTCTTTGAGTTATATTGGCAATGGAGTAAAGGTTACCAATTGATATCAAGAACAAAAAAACAAAAAGATTCCCGATTGAACGGTCCATATGCAACATCTGGCACGGTGAGAATCGTCTACTCTAAACTAGCGCAAAAGGAATTAAAAGTGCCCCGATACATTATTCCACATCAATTATTTTTAAATTATTTTATATGAAAAAGAATATGAATTTAAAAAAAATAAAAAATTAACTATTTAAAAACGAGAGCAAAAGATCTACAAAACGGGACGTGACATTACTAAATTATTTTATCAAAAGAACAATAAAAATAGAACAAAAAATCGGGCCAAATTTTTCTTTTTTGCTCTATTTTTATTGGTCATTTGATAAAATAATTTAGTAATGTCACGTTTCGTTTTGTAGATCTCTTGCTCTCATTTTTAAATAGTTAATTTTTATTTTTTAAAATTCACATTCTTTTTTAAGAAGGATAGTCGGTAAGTCTTGAAGTAATTATAAATTGAAATACATTGAACCAACATACATGTAAGTAGTTTAATGGTTCGGTCGGGTTCCAGTGACACCGAAGTACGGTGACACTTCGGTACCACTGTTATTTTGGAGCACTTCTGGTGTTTCGTTCGTAAAATTGACGACTCCTATCACCTAACTCACCCCCCACTCCAACCCCACCGTAAGCCTCCCACAAAATGAGTGGTTGTTACTCTTCCTCAAAGTTTTTGGCATTCACCCGATCTAAGGGTAATCACATGATTACGTGAATGACCCGACTTAAACTCTAAATAAACACGAGTTAAAAGCGTAATTTCCCTTGCCAAACCTCTTTTTGAAAAATGTGGAGTAATATGAAGAGTTGGCCCTATCTGTATTGGGTTTATGCCCAACCCTTTGTGTACATCTTAGCATCCATTTAGTATAGTAGTATCCTCTAAAGGAATACTCCTTCGCCCATTTCTCTAAAAACTATAATCACTTTTAAATACATTCTAAAAAAATCACGATGTTTTTATATTTTACATTATGAAAAAAGGTAAAATAGAAAAAATTCAAATCCACCCTTAGAGTGGCTAGACATTCTAAAATCAGATTTAATGCTTATCAATATACAAAAAGGAGTATGAATTAACTTAAATCTTGCAAAATCATAAACAACTCCATCTTTTTTAGATTCTTATATTGATCGAGTTTCATCAAATTTCAGTACGAAAACACAACATTTCTTGATTGATTACTTGAATTGATACATGATCGGTCCACGTTGAGGTACTAATTTGAGTTTCACATTATAAATTTAAGTTATCAATGCGTTAGAATTTTTTGAAGGTATGATGAGGATAGTATATAATTACCTAATTCAACATCGAATCAAGCACCATAAAACCCTTCAATATTACTCCTCTATCGTGATTGTAATAGTATACAAATAGGCTAAATTATACGGGCCTCAACTAATAAAAACTCTGGGCTTAATCACAAATATCCACTAATATAACTCATTTAAAAAAATTCAAATGAAGTAACCCAAATTTAAGTCCTAATACCGATGATAACAATAATAGTTTTAATAATAATATTAATGTTTTTTGTAAAATTATTGCATGTACCAACGATAATATTCACTTTTCATCGTTTTAATCTAAAACTATAATCTAATTTACTGCTTTCAAATCTATTATGTGCATATTTAGGGATATCGTTAGAAATTAGAATTAGTATTTTTAATAAAATATTAATGGTGCATATTATATTAAAAACACTAACGTTAAATGTTGTCTGTAGATAGTTTTTTCATAGTAACATTTCTAAACGGGGAAGGTTCCCATGACATTGGGAACCAATATCCGGGGGCGCTCCGGTGCCCCGTTCGTAAAATTGATGGTTCCTACTCCCCGGTAAACCCCCCACCATGTCCCAACTCGAACACACCTCCCACCCCCTTCTACCCCACAAGTTGATTTTGACTTTGTAGTCAAAATTTGACTCCAAAGTCAAAATCAACTTGTGGGGTGCAATTGAAGGGGGGTGGGGGGTGTGTTCGGGTTGGGACAGGGTGGGGGGTTAACCGGAGGAGTTACGGGGGGTAGGAACCGTCAATTTTACGAACGGGGCATCGGAGTGTCCCGAGTCATCCTATGACATTGATTCCCAATGTCACGGGAACCAAGTTGTTTCTAAACATGCCCTATGCCAACCAATACTAAAAAGAGTGGCATTGTCATATTTTGACATCCAATAATTGTCCAAACATTTATCCTCATTAACAACAACAAAAATAAAGAAGGTAAGCACTTTGACCCAACCCAGCAAAAAAAAAGCACTTCGTAAATTAAAACCCCATCCCAAAGGAGAAGAATCCACATCCCGCAAATGAGATAAACCACCGGGAAATTTCTTGAGAAAGATGCTCCTCGGCATTCTGGAATCTTCCGGCAGCTCAGAGAAGCAGACGCGATCGGAAGGAGGGAAGCACGCGGTTTCAGCCGAACTGAAGAGGTCAGAACAAGAGGCCCGTTTCTTGGAGGTCAATTTTCTCACATCTTTCTTCCGATTATGTTCAATTTTCATGGTTTTGATCGCTCAAATTCGGAGTCTGGTTGAATTGTTCTGAATTCTGCAAGATAGTTTTATTGAGCAAAAAATAAGAACACCCATTCAACCAAAAACTCATGCTTGTGGTTGTAGGCCTCGGGAGGATTTAATACTTCAGCCAAAATCCACAATTAGTCTTTCAATTTTATGAGTTGTGCACGATCGGTCCTTCAAATTTCAAAAATCCATCTTTCAACTTTATGAGTTGTGCATGATTAGTCCTTCAAGTTTCCAAAGTCATAAGTAGTCCTTCAAGTACATGTAAGCCTTCCAAGAGAAGTCCATTTGACAGTAAACATTAAAAGCTAAATGGAGTACTAGTTCCATATAATACGAGTAAATTCCACTAATTACGACTACTTCGTATTGTATGGAGCTAGTACTCCATTTAGCTTTTAATGTTTACCGTCAAAATGACCTCATCTGGAAGGCTGACGTGTACTTGAAGGACTACTTATGGACTTTTGAAACTTGAAGTACCAATTGTGCATAACTCATAAAGTTAAGGACTATTTATGGACTTTTGAAACTTGAACGACCAATCGTGCACAACTGATAAATTTGAAAGACCAATAGTGGAGTTTAGCCTAATACTTCTAACATGCTTCCTCGCGTGCAAGGGAGATTTGTTTTGGCTCCAACCTTGTATGTGGGCAGGGATGAGTTTCGAATTCGTGACCTTTTGGTCAATAAAGCAAGCTATGATATTAAATGCAATTGTTATTTAATAGAAGGTCAATAATTATCTAGTTTGATTTGAAAAAGACAAATGGATGAAAATTTTGGAATGAGGCAGTATATGTAAAGGCCCAAGTGGAGGTCTTTGGGGTCTCGAGATCCTTTGGGACTAATTGTACATCCGCCTCTACTATGAGTCCACTAGTGAGATTGATTATAGTGTACGTATGTGAGGAAATACAAATGTCCATTCTTGTCCTTAGGAAAGGGCATTGGTTAAGAAACTAAAAAAAGGAAAGCATGTTTTTAGTAAATTTCCAAAATAGTATTTAATAACTATGTGTTTTCCCAAATTAGTTCCCAAAATTAACTAATTCCCAATATGGTACTCTTTAAGTGATTTTGAGAAACTAATATAAGGTTTAACGTCTTTTTAACGTCATTTTAACAGATGTTAGGCAGAGGACTGAATTGAGCATATTCTCAATTACCGAGTATCATTTCGGGAGTTAGTTAGTTTTGAGGACTAATTTGAAAAAACACATAGTTATTGAGTACTATTTTGGGAATTTACTCTTTTTTTGTTGAAAAATGATAAGTCGCATTCGACAATGCACTCATAACCATTGCTCAAAGGCTGACATTTAAAATTTTCTCAGTTCTTAAAATTTGAGTTAGCTTTGAAAGTAAACAATTAAATCCAGACGTAAAGAATGTATATTCTTGTTGCTTACTAACATGTACTAGGCCCTGTTCTTTTGGGTTGGAAAAATCAACTTCCAACTTTTTCTACTTTTTTCCAACTCCTTTTAGTTCCTTCCAATAACAACTTAAAAACAGTATTTATATATGATGGATATACAATAACATTATATATACAAATTTATAACATACCACCTCAAACACAGACAAGGACGAATTCTCTTTTATCTAAAATTAGAATTTTCTTGCATCTTTGTTTGAATGATCATTTAAGTGAGTGACTTTTTAACACATTAATTCTTCCAACAGTTTCCACCAAATGTCATGTTTAGAAGCATGCCTGCCAACTTGAAACTAGAACATCACACCAAATGTCACCTTAAGGAAATAAAATCAATAAAGAAAGAGACTTGGTAAAGTTTCATGCTCTGTGTTTATTATGATTGTCTCAAAAAGTTATACGGAGTATGTTTGTGCACATTTGGTAAGTTTGTAATGCATACACCCCATCCGTTTAATTTATAAGTCTCGCTTAATATTTTGTTTCTATGATCGTTATGGTCACTTTTCTTTTTTAATCTCAGCTAAGTTTTTACCTTTTTATATAATTAGACACATTGACTTATTTGTACGAATGAAATTTGTAAGTTTTTACTCCGTATAAATTACTGAGTTCGGTAGCCATTTACGACTCTGTAGATATTCTCAAACCAAGCCAATGCAAAACCCTAAACGGATATATATCTAATGTGAACATATACACAAACGGAATCTTCTTTTAAAAAAAAGCAAATGCAAAGCTCAATACCAATATCATTCCGATGTTTTAGAAGGAAGCATTAATGCAAAGATTTTCAATGACATTATACTTTCACCTTTTCCAGGAGGAATTGGAACAGCTGGTCAAGTCGGGAAATGCCTCAGCTGCTTGTAAAGAGTAAGAGAACACATAGATATTCAATACATGTAACGAGTGTTATGGTTTACAACAACAACAACGAAAATCCATTATAATCCCAACCCTTAATGCATTGCTGCGTTTATTGTCCAAAACTTCGTAGAAAGTGGAAAAAAACAAGGGGAGTTTAATGTGCCATTTTGATTTAATCCAATGTGCCCAAAACCGAAACATTGTTGATGATGAATGTTTTAGCTCCATTGGCAATGGACGGAAGATATGCTTTGTCTAACTTTATTACTTTGTGTGGACACCAGACTTTTGCTTAACATGGAAACAAGACCAGATCCACTACTCCCACTGTAAGCCATTCTTGATTTTCTGATGTGAAGCCTTTAGATGGCTCTGTTTATATCTTGATGTATAGAATTATAGAGTTGTTTTTAAAAAAAAATAGAAAGTTGATGGGAAATTCGAAATGTTGAACCAAATTTAAATAATTCCTTTTTTTAGAAAAAAAACCTCAAATACTCCGTTTATAGCAAGGTGTAGACCAGTCCCTCGAATAACCAGCTCCACCCAAACAAACCACAACTTTTCAAACGAAATAACGCCGCATCTCTATGGAATATGGAACATAGCATGAGGTGACTTCATTTTTCACATACATTTAGTCTTGGAATATGGAGCTATGTTGCATGAATTGTTCCAATAAATGCTACTTCATGTCCCCAAAATGTTCCCGTTTGGATACTTGGGGATGTCCGGACACCCAAACCCTTTAAAAAACTTGAAAATATTGGCGTTTTCATGTTTCCGTCCCCATCCCCGTCTCGGTGCAACTTAGCTGGATAGAATCTTGGTTGGTGAAACACAATGTTAGTGTAGCTTAATATCAATCTGTGTTCTATACCGAGTTTCTTTATCTTTATTTCCTGACAGAACGAATGGCCCGACAAGTCCTTCTTGGGATCTATGGTTTGAAGGGGTACCCGACAAATCTTTTTGTGGGTGCTGCATAGTTTGATTTCCATTGGCTTTTTTCCCTGAAGAAATGTCATCATCTGTTGGAGGGTGGCTTTAAAGTTCCCGTCTTTAGACTTTTTTTTGGGGAGAAATTAGACTCTAAATTGTACAACAGAAGGATGTAAGTGGGAGCAAATCCCAAAATGTGCAGGAAATGTTTCTCATTTTTTGTTAGCGTGGAAAGCAGAACATCACAATGATTCGAGACTTTGTTTTTTCTCACGTTGTCAGTTGTTATGAGGTCACCCAATCAGATAGCTCACATGTTGGCTCGAGCGTGACTTTGTGTCTGATCGCTTGGAGTGAGTTTTTTCCCTTCCATCATTTATGTATGAGACTTTGTGCTCCGATTTGAATTAATATATTTCTCATGCATTTTCAAAAAATGATATCATTATTTTCTTTTGAGAAATTTAGCCTTGGTATCTTATGAAAATGCATTTCTTAGATTTGCACAAAAAAAAATCAAATATGAAATAATTTAAATGGCTATATTAAGTCGTTGCTTCTTTTTTTATTAATGAAAGAATGTTTTTCTTTTATTAATTGAAATAGAAGCAACACCTTAGTAATTGAATTCTTTACTATGGCTTATTTCCATGATGAAAATTGGCGAGCTGTTGTAGTAGCTTGTCATCTACAAAGGAGAAAACAATAAAGGTATATTTACGGTGTGGGAGAGAAGATGTAGTCCCTAAGACGTGAGGCATATTTTTGTAAAAAATTGAAGTATTGATTTTATTACAAACTAATACAGAGTATCTATTTAGATAAACTAGTAGTTGTTTATCAGAATACAAAAAAATACGGAGTAGATGTTTACGTATTTAAATATACTTTTTTCTTAAATCTAAAACGGACGAGTAATAATAGTCCACACGATATCAGAATACAAATTTTGAGAATCCTTCCATTTTTCTAAAAAAAATGATTTGGAATATAAATGGATATGTTTTGAATCTGTGACTCATGCCAAGAGGCTATCATATACAAAGTTATTAAAAATGAAGACTTTGGTCCAACCGTTTAGGTTCCACCAATTGTTGAGAGGTAAAAATTATCCTCACACCACAGTAACTCCAGTAAATACATGTTCATATTTTTTAATAACTAGTAGTAACAATATTTGCTTATGTGACTTCTTGTTGAGTGAAATAGTTTGAAGAGTATACTAAGAATGAAATCAAAGATGCTAAGAGGGTGTTTGGCACTGCAGTGGATTCCTAGAAAAACAGAAGTTATGACGCAGAAGCCAAAAGCATTTAATCCCAACTTTGCCAAAAAGCACTTTTAGAGCTCATTTTGCACCTTGAAATCATACGATATAAGCTGAAATAGATTTGTCAAACACACAAAATTACTTTTGGACAAATTTGAAGCTCAAAAGTTGCTCTCTAACGCTGTGTCAAACACTCTCTAAATACAAGTGAGACAATTATTAATGTGATCTTCGAATTTATCTACAAATTTATCTCAAAGGGCACCATTGCCAAACAAGCCTTGTAAAACCTCCAAACCAGCGTACTCATGAAGGAGAATCTCCTTTGGAATATACTCATTTGGGGGAGGAGCTAGGCGTAGAAAACACTTCATTGTCGCATAACAATCTAAGGTGCCTAAATGCATTTGGTGTTTAATATTATGACATAGAATCTTTCAAAATGCCATGCATATTATTTGTTTTGATTTTTGGTTCCATTTTCAGTTTTTGGTTTCATGTTAACTTTTTTTGTTTAGTTATACTCCCATTTATCCCTTTATCCCATTTTAAATTATTTGATTTCTTTTTTTTTGTCCGTCTCGAATTACATTGGATGTTTCCTATTATGGTACGCTTTTATGGGAAGAATACCTAAGCAACCATTCAAATATTTCCACTATAAGAATCGGTTAGATAAGCAACAGACACCTTTCCATCGCAAATTCAAAAAAAAAACCATAGTAGATCCATAATCAGCAACGCATTGACCCTGTCGCAAATTAGTCTTTGCCAAACCAACATCTGCGACATAAATTTTTTTCCGTCGATGAAGAGTACTCCATTTTCAACAATACTATTTCCCTTCACAGAGTTGTTGTAGATTTGCAACGGTCGGTGGTCCTTGGCAGATTTCCGTTGTAAATCTAATAGATTCTTAAAGTGTTCACTCCTAAAGCCCTCATGCAACTCATTTTCCCACTCTCGTCGATTTCATTATTTCTTCTCTTTCTTTTTTCATCTACATTATTTCTTTCTCTCTTTCACTTCTATCTTTTGCGATTTATTTATAACAACTGCTATTTCTTTGTTCTCCTTTCTTGGATTTCTTTCTTCGATCTCTTCTTCTTCGAAGCTTGGTACGTTCTTTGAATTGTTTCTCTTTTTATTCAATAGCTTCTCTCTTCTAGGTCTTTTTCTATCTCTTTCTTTGATATAGGGTTTTTTCGATGACCATTTTTTGGCTTTCCAGATCAATGGTTTTTTCCATGATTATTTTTTTTATTGGAAACAGCCTATTGACCCAATGCTCATTAATTCAATCATTAATGAGCGTCAATCTAGCCACTAATCACATTGCCTAGCCGTTGCACGATGGGGTAGAATCTTCGCTCTGTTATTAACTCATAGAAATGGCCGGGTTAGAGTAGTTCGGCCACATGTGCTCCCTCATCTCGCTATCCCCTCTAGTTTGTCGTCATTGAGATCCACTCGGCCTCACACAAAGAGTTGTCTTTTGGATAGTCTTTTCAGCATAAGCCAAGCAAACAGGGTCATGCCAAAAAATGATCGATCACTTGCCGAAGAGGATATGACCAATCACTTTTCAATGGCTCTAGGGTCTTCCCCAACGTTTTCACTTCGTGACTGGTCATGATTTGATGGGTCACTTTTCAGGTCCGGGTTGGGTATAAGTTATACCCATTAAATTATATTTTTGCTCGGTCCAAAATCAGTTTCATTTGAATTGATTTGAAAAAGTACCGGTACAAAGAGACTCGTGTTCCTTCATTTTGAAAGTTGAGAACCGCCGGTTCTAGAACTAACTCATACACTCAGACAATGTAATATGAGACATAAGGATAAGTAGACTACCTTCATTCACGCCCTTTCCCTATTACACACCCACCCTCTCACACTTCCAAGCCTTTTCAATGTGTTCTCCATCACGGGGTAAGCATTCACTCCGTCTTTTTTAAAGTTCAATAGGTCGAAATTTATTTACTCAGTTTTTGGTCAAGTCTCATTTCAAGTCCCATATGGCACATATTTTATCACGTAGTGTCTTCGTGGCACTAGGTCAAGCTCGATCCTACCTCGTACTCAAATTACTCCCTCCACGTCTGTTCTGAAACCAAACACATGTCAATGAGCATTGCACAGTTGGTAAAAGCAAAGAGTGCGAAAGATATAAGATCAGAGTTTAATTTCTGACAACTAAGTTAGGAGAAAACTATATTAAACATATAACCTTGATAATTATCAGATCCAAACTCTACTTATTTTCATCAATCTGCAATCAATCAAAATTTACCTTTATCTCTCCTCACTAACCTTTTAAGCGAATTTGAAAGTGCTGTGCTCATCTCCTTTTTTCTTTTGAAACCAAACACGCCCTTGGTAACCACTTGTAAACGTCGTTCTATACCACGTTTTCAGTGCAAATACAAATGGAGCAAGTAAAACACTTTTGCTACCCCTTCGATGCCAAATGTCCAATTGAGCCGTTTCTTCTTTGCGTCAGGTACCGTCTTCACCTCTGGCACCGATACTATCGAAGCTCGCTCTATAATAAGCCTTAATCGGAGGGCATAAATCACCGCTCCGGCAAACACAAACCTCAGTTCAGATTTTCCGCCGACAAGAAAATGTTGAAATGCCTCAATTTCTCCGTTTCTGCCGGTTCCCCGGCGAGTTTTCGTGCTCCGAAACCTCTCTCGGTTCCCTGCTCCGGCGCTGTCCGGTTCCCGGCGAAGGTATCCGGACAGAAGACGGGGTCGATAGCTAAGGTCTGGGTTTCGGATCTGGATTCGACTTCTCCGGTTCTGGCGTCGGACAACGGGTCGGGAGGTAGTGTGCTCTCGGCCGCAATAGAGGTGGACGCCGTGACGGAGGCGGAGCTGAAGGAGAACGGGTTCCGGAGCACGAGGAGGACCAAGCTGGTGTGCACAATTGGTCCGGCCACGTGCGGGTTCGAGCAGCTGGAAGCGCTGGCCGTCGGCGGGATGAATGTGGCCCGAATCAACATGTGCCACGGGACCCGGGAGTGGCACAGGATGGTGATCCACCGGGTCCGGCGGTTGAACGAGCAGAAGGGCTTCGCCGTCGCCATTATGATGGATACTGAGGGCAGTGAGATCCACATGGGTGATCTTGGCGGCGCCTCCTCTGCCAAAGCTGAGGCATCAAAATTTACCTTTGTACATTTACATTTTGCTTTTCTACTACTTTTCTTCCTTATTTGAAGATATTCTAGCAAGAAGTGAGGAATAGCTTTGTAATTAATCTCGTCAAAATGGAAAAATTAAAAAAATTGACACAAAAATAAGTAGGTAAGACCTACTTATTTGTATTGACTTATAAGTAAGTCTGTTTATAAGTAGACAAATACTTCATCAGTTCAGTTAAAAACAACTTATAAGTAGTTTTGATCGGCCTATAACCACTAATAAACATCCACATTACATCAATCCCATTTTAAAGAAATGAGTTTGAAATGTTTTTGTCACGCATTCATATGAGGATGTTTTAAACATATGCTCTGATATTATATTCAGTATTGAATATGAAATGAAAAAAGTGGATGACTAATTTCGGACAAACCAGAAAAATAGAGTGGGCGACTAAATCGGGAGTGATTCGGGACAGTGAGAATAATATCTAAGTTTAGTTGAATTCTTAAACTTGAACCCAAGTTTATTAAAAGTGTAGGCCATTTGCTAGAGATTGAAAAACTTTATGAAATACATGATCCAAAGTTTGTTCTTTTCTACTCTGTTGTACTTATTTTCAATCAAGGTTTACACTTTTAAGTTAAAATGACAACCGACCTTCAGTCGTTTTGATGAAAGGTTGTTTATTTATGGAGATTTTTCGCTTCCGGCTTCTTTTTAATGTGAGGGATTAAATTTGAAAGCTTGCAGGATACTGCTAGTCATTTGTAGCCATGGTTCAATCTCTTTCTGTTGCTCCTCTTGTGGGAGTTTAGTTGAAGTTAGTAAACTTTGAACATGAATAACATGAACTTGCATCCTCTTATTTTTCAGGATGGAGAAATCTGGACGTTCAGTGTTCGAGCATTCGATTCAACCCAACCGGAGAAAACAATTAATGTGAACTATGAGGGATTTGCTGAAGGTTAATGAAATTTTCTGAATCAATGCAAAATATATGCCTATTT